GCACTACATTGAGCAAACAACAAAGACTGTGAGCCCAAGCTCCTCTGGGTGCAACTCGATAAAGCAAGGACGAAGAAACTTCGCCTGGAATAATTCATTAGTGTCATATGACACAGGTTTTCTTTCGACGGTTCTCCAAACAATGCTTGCCAGCCAATTTTAGACCTTGACTGCACTTCTCTACATCTAGGGCACTCATGCTGTAATGTTGGGTGCTCAGCAGCATGTGCAATGCAACCAGCTGCTCTTGCTGAGTGGGCGAGAGGTCCTAAACAGTGCAGCTGGAGGCAGTTCAGGCCCTCACCATCCAGTGTGGCAGTGTAAAGCTGCAGCTGAAAAAGATTAGCACAAGTGACCGATGACCGGAGTAGCAAAATTGCGACAGGCAGCGCTATTGTTCCCGAGCGTGCCGATAGCAAGTGCCAGTCATGTTCTATGTCTCAACGTTGGTGGCTGCCAGAAAATTGAGGGATAAGATAGCTTTAGGATGGGCTGTTTTGTGCCGCCCACCACCGTGTGTCGCGAGTTTGCTGCTCCGGTCGTTGGTCGCTTGTGCTTACCTTTTTCCGCTGCAGCTCTACCTGATGACTGGTGCACAGCTGACATGACACAGTTTCAGTAGCATGCATACATGGTTTGCAGGTAATGTCATGTCAGTATAAAAGACAAGACCTTTGAGTACTTCCAAGGGCACCGTGTTGGTGACCACCACTTGGTACATGTCAGATGTGGTTAATGGCAGAGGCTGCTCATATTGCCATGCACGTCTCCAAGCAAGCTTGCCCGTGGCCGAATGGTTATTGTGCTTAGCTTGCACACAAAGGGCTGAGGTATGATGCCTGGCCGCACATGCACCTTTTTGTTATTTCTGTAAATGTTGCATTCTGGTTTAATTCAAGAATCCCATTGCTTATCCAAAGTCAGAATGTTCTACGCACCAAACTTTCTATGCCGATTGTTCCAGAAGTCCACGCATATACATGAGGGGCTCTGCGTGGCGATACAGAGAGAGTCTCGCTCTTGCGCTCGATCGTGCTACTCGCCGACCTTCGATGCCTGTGATGCTACCTCGTTGTATTTTTGTTTTCGGCACAAGTTTGCCAAATTAAACGTTTAGTTTCTGTTCATTCGTCACCTGACCATCTGTCATTCGCAAAATTTTGGTGTATGTGCGGGACATTAACAAAAAGGCGCATGCGCGGCCAGAAATCGAACCTTGGCCCTTTGTGTGGGAACCAAGTACGAGAACCATTCGGCCACGGGCGCGCTTGCTCGGAGACGTGCGGGGAAATATGTGCTAGTGCAGGCACTTGGGCTAAGCCTAGGCAGAAGTTTAAACCGTCAAGTGATGATGACAAAGTTTGTCCGTGTTTGTCCAGTTCAGTACGCAGAAAATATTGCTCTGTGTGGTGGCGAGAACCATCTGCTAGTTACTCTCAACTGTGACAGATTGTGATATCTAGCCAAAGGTGGAGGACGTGAATACCTCAGTGCGAAAAAATGAAGAGAAGTATACAAAACTGCACGCCGATGATTTCGCCGAGTTCGACAGGCAATGACCAGCCAGGTGCGTCCTGCTTCCACAGCCCTTTGCAGCAAATAATTTTATAAGTGGACCTTTTATATAAATAGCGGACACCGGTTTTGGAATTGGTGAGCCAGTTTTGTCTTAGTGTCATTCCCTTGTCAATTTCAGGGCAGTGGGTAGATGTGGTGCTGCCGGGAATGTTCGGTGGAAGCAGGTGTCTGTTGGGAAACAGGACCGGAGGCACCGTCTTTTTCCTGACACAGTCTCATTAATTGGATCTGTGTCTTGTCTGACACAAAACTCAAGTAACCATGTGTGGATTGTATCTGCACCATGTGTACACTTAAGTTTTTGGAAGTTTTGCTGAGGTGTCACCTTGCTAGAAACATCAACACGGTTGGACCTACAGTCACCTTGGGAGCTACCGACCAGGCACAATATGTTAATGACAGCATCTTCTACATAGTTATGCACAGTGCAGGTCATGTTCACATTTTTGTGCAATTGCTGAGATGGGTACAAAAGCTGTCACTTTGGGCCACTGGAGCCAGCGCAGTTCACCATGATCACAGTCTAGCGAAGCTGCAACCCCACAGCATCAATGGCGACCAGCATGAGGCTACCGACGGAATTCATGCATAATACATGTCCTGACACAGGCGCAAACCACGTATTATGGAGATGAATCCAGACTGTTTTTTATACCTACCATTTGGTGGTGGTGGAGCTGCCATCTGTGCTGGGTTCGTACTAGCACCTTTGGCCACAGCAGATGAGTCCTGCATCATCCAATCAAGCACAAGATAGCGCACAACAAATGGGCAGCCTTTCTGGTTCCGCGATTGCCTACACTTTAGAATTCAGGTATCGGAGTGCCTCATGCACAGCTCCAGAGAAATTAACTCGTCAGCTTGAGCGTTACGATCCGAGCTTTCAAAGAAACATCACGAGGCAGCACACTCGTGCAAAGTCAATAAGACCAAAAACAACACAGAGTCTGTTTACTACAAGTAGCAAGTTTTAGGAGACCGTTACCGTGTTCTGCGGTGGCCACGGTACGGCTGGTAAGGCTTTAAGCGTGCTGAAAAGCATGCTTTAAAGTTACAACGCGAGCTCCCAGTAGCAATTTCGCTGCGCACGGCAACGGTACGCTAGAACCGCCCATTGAGATGCCATGCACTTACTTTCCGACACTGCAGCCGAGATGCCGTGTGGCGACGGACGAGGCGCGTCCGCCCACGAAATCATGCGCCTTCTTCCGTGAATTAGCGAGGAACCTTTCTCATATGGGCCAAGATTCTGTCCTACTCCTCGAGTTCAGCGAGGACACTTGGTTCACGCCCCCCACCAGACTGCCGAGTGGTAATCGCGACGTGAAAAAGCCCGACTTGACAGCAAAAATTCCAAAAGTGAGGCAAATCTTCGTACAGACACACGAGCGCTTTACGTGCGACATCCACCGTCGGCCATGACGATTCATCACGATCGCGATGCAGCTCACGCATTGCGATCATCTAAATTGTTTCACTTACGTAAAAAGACATGATTCATGCGACCTAGACTTGACACCGGTAATTATATTTAGACTGTACCGCATTATACATTTTCAGAAGTTAAAAATGTTGCTTTTACAAGACCCTTCGATGCGGCGTTGCGCATTTCCCTCTAGGAACATATTTTGGGGACAAATCCCGATGAAGTTTCAACTCAATCGCCACTCTCCGTCGACGTCATCAACGCGCCGCGATGAAGTTCCCTGCCAGTTGAGTTCGCTGCCGATTGAGATTAGGCTCCTCCCAGCGTCGACGTCACGATGAAGTTTCTTCATCGCTTTTTCCAGCATAGACAGACTGGACGGTGTTGGGACCGAGGGGGTTCTCCGGGTAGCGTCACGCAGGGCCAGGCCAGGAAAGGAGCAGCGGGCAGACTCCCGTCCAGGAACATGACGAGACGGGAGGGTCTCTCGCAACGAAACTTTGTTTAATACATATGTACAAAGTATTTACAACGTCCGAGAGCACAGATGCGACATTCTGTTTGCCCCTTTTATAGGGTCGCTCTTCGGTACTCTCGCGGCTGGCAGCCAATGGTGGCCGAGCTGCCAACAAATCATATTCAGGCCCCGCCTCCACTCATCCCCTGAGCACGCACACACCCACATGCACACACTGCAGCTGTGGCCGGACTTCACACTCCGGCGCCGAGGCACCCTTGCCCTCGAAAGCTGCGCCGAGGAGGCGACAGCAAGGGGTCCAGTGTTTGCCCGGGTGACGACGTTGGCCGTGGTAGTGCTGACCCCTCCATCAGACGGCGTTGAGGCACGGGAAAGGGCTTGGCCGGATCATCCGCAGGTGGCGTCCGGGGATAATCCCACCCTCACGGAGGTCCCGCAGCTGGCGCGTCGTTACCCGGAATCCTGGCCCGGTAATCCTCCCGGTTCTTGAGTCGGCTGACCCCGTTTCGGACCAGCGTTAACGCAGCCAGAAAGAAGGGTCCGGCTTAGCTCCGCGCCTAGGTGGGCGACGCCAACACGGTGGTCCCACGGCACCCCCTTGTCGCCTCTCGCCTCGTTTCCGGGCAAGCCGACCGGAGCTATGTGGCGATGCTACTCAATGAGTTCACCGTTGCCGGACGGATTAGATAGGGAGGGTCTGGTCCGGGGCTTTTCCGTTTTCACAACAGCTCCTCCGCCGCTGGGAAGAGTGTCTTGAAGGGGAGCAGTCCACACTGGTCCCTTGAAAGACGCGGTCTCACGGCAAGGCGGGCGACTGAGGTCCAGGCTGGAGTCAACTCTGGGAAGTGACAGTAACGCAACCCACAACACCGAACCAGACTCCGCGCAGCCGAGCGCCCAGCCCTCCATACCTTCAATCCGCCAGACCACTCTCAAACAACAATAAAAAATGCCACTTGAAAGTTCCGTGGTATTCTATGAACGAAAGACACTCAGAAACTTATTTCCTACGACAGGTTGCTTTAGCGAAAGAAACTTTTGTAGACCAATAAAAGCCCTCTAACGCTCAACCCAAAATAAAACGGACTCCCGTGAAAACAAAACCACATTACCAACCGGAACGTAACTCACATAGGGTATATCCCTATTAAATTTTAGCACGCCCTTCAGAACCCAAACTTTACTGAGGAGAAAACCGCTTTAAAGGAACAACGCTAACAAAACAAGCTAATCATAATAACCCTGAGACGAAGGAAAAATAAAAAAACGGACAGTACAACGAAGTCTCTATATTTTTTTATTTTTCCTTCGTCTCAGGGTTATTATGGATACCATTCACCAGCTCGCCTGTGTTTTTTACCTTTCTTCACAAAACAAGCTAAAGTCGAAAGAAACGCAAAACTCGGACTCCCGAAAAAAGAAAAGCTAATAACCTTGCCGAATAACCTAATCGACTCAATTACACTAAACAAAACACGTTTAGCCCTCCCTTTTCCCCTCAAAAGTCCCTCTCTGCATCTAACCTACGCCCAGTTTGTCCTTGGCTTCACTCGAACTGTTCAAGCTTTTCTCCTTGGACTTGCGTACAGACTTGAAGTTGCAGTCTCGGAGATCTCCCTTAGTCTCCGCGTCCGACGTGACGCCAGGCTGAACCACAGGCGATGGGCTGTGACTCCGTCTGGAACCTCGCCGAGTCGTTCCAGGCTCGTTGTTGCCTTCTCCAGGATTCTTGCTCGTACTTGAGCTGTGGGTCCGTGGCTCGTTGGGGTGGGGGTCCTGGAGTTTGCCCCCTCCCAGCCTCGAGAACCGCTTCCTCCTCTTGAAGTGGCGCTCGTCGCGCTTGCCTCGACGTTCTCTGCAGGAAGCGTTGCTGCCAGAACGTACAACGCTAATTCGGCGCCGCCTCTTCTTCTTCGGCCTCGGTCGCTTGCTCCTGACGGCATCCAGGTTCTCGGTCTCGGATCTCCCATGCCGCGAGCACGACGACGTCCTTAGATGCACCTGCGACGGGTCTGCTCTGTCCCGCCCGGGCTCCATCGTGTCCCCGGTGGATCCCTTGCTCGCGCAGCCGCTTCCGGTTGCAGGTACCCTGGGATGGCCGGTTTGGGGTCTCCCGTCCTCCAACCACGACGACTCGCTGCGGGACGCGTACTCGTCGACGTCCTCCTTGCACCTCGACTCCGTGAATGGTCTGGAGTCCGGGCTCCGCAGCCGTACCAGGCAGGTGTGGTTGACCTTGTCGAAGGAAATCCCAATCACCTCCCTCCTGGTCAGCCGCGTGGACTCCTGCGACGGCGCCGTGGGCTTGTCCTCAAAGCCGCACGGGTGCCGATCAGAGCGGTCAGGATCCTGGCTTGTTTGCTGAACCGCTGTTTGTTGCATCTCGGCGCCGCTCTCCATGAGCTGGCTGGACTCCCCCGGCGTCGCTTCTGTCTTGGCATCGCCTTCGTCCTCCGGGAAGTCGCAGCTGGACGCCCGAAGAGCCTTCTCTTCCTTTTCTTGCCGCTCGGGCGTTCGGCAGGTCTTGCGCGGAACGGCGTCGGTCTCGCGTGGAACAGCGTCGGTCGCGTCGGAAGAAACCCGCTGGTTTCCGGTCACCTCGGTGTCCCCAGCTCCAGTTTTCTTCTTTTCCTGACACACCAATTCTGTCGCTGCCTCCACGTCACTTTCGCCGTCCCGCCGCTCGGGGTATGGGTCGGTCTTGCGAAGATCGGTGACGGTCGTGTCGGGAGAAAGACGCTGGTTTTCGGTCATCTCTGTGCCCCCAGCTCCCACTTTCTCCTTTCCCTGACACGCCTTTCGTGTCACCCCTTCAACGCCTGTTGCAGCCCGAGAAAGAGCCTCCAACTCCCGCGCTTTCTTCGCGAGCTCGAGCTGCTCGAACTCGTAGTCGAGCCTCTCGATTTCGCGCTTGTACTCGCGTTTCTCGAGTTCCCATCTCTTACACTCGAGAGCCCACTCGAGTTCTTTTCTAGCCCTCTCGCGAGCCTCCTCGTCGGCCCGCTTTCTGCGTTCCTCCCGCTCCCTTTCGCGAACTTCCTCCAGAGCCTCCGTGAACTCTTCAATGCTGACGTCTTCGGCCTGAAGGAGTTTTATAATATGCGGTTTGCGTTTGGTCTGCCCTAAATCGATTCCCAATTCGGTACAAACCTGCACTAACTCGTGCCAACGGAATGCCTCGAGACTCATGACCTAGCTTGTGATGGCTCTCTCTGTCACAAAATTCTCGCGTCAGAACGGTCACACAGTCCTTCTAACAACGACTATCTCCAACCCCCACAGGCAAAACTTAGAGCCAATGGGTCTGGCAGATTGAGAAAGAGAGGGCCGGGCACTCACCCACACAAGAAGTCATGGTCCGGCGAAGTCGATCCCACCGCTGCCACCAGTTGTTGGGACCGAGGGGGTTCTCCGGGTAGCGTCACGCAGGGCCAGGCCAGGAAAGGAGCAGCGGGCAGACTCCCGTCCAGGAACATGACGAGACGGGAGGGTCTCTCGCAACGAAACTTTGTTTAATACATATGTACAAAGTATCTACAACGTCCGAGAGCACAGATGCGACATTCTGTTTGCCCCTTTTATAGGGTCGCTCTTCGGTACTCTCGCGGCTGGCAGCCAATGGTGGCCGAGCTGCCAACAAATCATATTCAGGCCCCGCCTCCACTCATCCCCTGAGCACGCACACACCCGCATGCACACACTGCAGCTGTGGCCGGACTTCACACTCCGGCGCCGAGGCACCCTTGCCCTCGAAAGCTGCGCCGAGGAGGCGACAGCAAGGGGTCCAGTGTTTGCCCGGGTGACGACGTTGGCCGTGGTAGTGCTGACCCCTCCATCAGACGGCGTTGAGGCGCGGGAAAGGGCTTGGCCGGATCATCCGCAGGTGGCGTCCGGGGATAATCCCACCCTCACGGAGGTCCCGCAGCTGGCGCGTCGTTACCCGGAATCCTGGCCCGGTAATCCTCCCGGTTCTTGAGTCGGCTGACCCCGTTTCGGACCAGCGTTAACGCAGCCAGAAAGAAGGGTCCGGCTTAGCTCCGCGCCTAGGTGGGCGACGCCAACACGGTGGTCCCACGGCACCCCCTTGTCGCCTCTCGCCTCGTTTCCGGGCAAGCCGACCGGAGCTATGTGGCGATGCTACTCAATGAGTTCACCGTTGCCGGACGGATTAGATAGGGAGGGTCTGGTCCGGGGCTTTTCCGTTTTCACAACAACGGTCGGATGCGAATGCGGCCTCTAAATGAGGTCGTTGCCAAACTTATATGACGAGAAAAGTCCACACGATCGGCAACTCGCCCGCTCCAGCTGACCGAAACGTCGAGACGCTTGGGAAATTCCAGAGGGCGCCTCCGTCGCAAACCGGAAGTTACAGGTGGAGTAAGGAGGGCTTTTTGGAGGAGGAGGGAAGAGAATGCGCCACTATTCCCAGATACGGGGACTTTACAAATCCGTAGTCATCCGCGCTCGCTGCGAGAGCGAGTGAACAGCTGAGAACATGGCGGCGGGCAACCTGCGGCGCGGAGAGCGGCCAAGTGTATACGTCGGCCGCAGTTTTCTCCCGAGAAGAAACGCGAGCTTTTATTGCCATCATAAGTGAGCGGAATATAGCTGGGAGCCGCTCGGTGAGGGCGGCCCCCGTCCAAGCCCTGCGAAGTACGACTTGTGCGTCCGAGGGGGTCCCTAAATGCTTCAGCGCAATCCTTTAGGGACCCGCCAAGAGCTCCGAGCACAGCATGGTAGCGCAAAACGAGCAGCTCCTACCTCGGTGACGTTCCTGGCTGCGCCGGAGCCTTTCGGCTTCGGGGTCCGGTCGCGGTCGGCGAGGTTTGGCGAGTCGAAGCGCGGTGGCGTCCTCAGAGCGTTTGGAAACGATCTCGCTCGCCAGGGCGTGCACACACACGCCGCCTCTTGTCCACAGTGGCCCCGCGGCCCGGCCTAGAGCCCTAAACGCTTGGGTTTTCATGTTTCTCCCGTCTCGTAATTTCTTCCACAGCAACGAAGACAGCGGGTACTATCTTTACGCTCGCCGAAAGCGTAAAAAGGGTCATACGTGCGATGCACCGGAAAACGTCGTCAGGTGGTGCGGCTGGTGCCGGAAACGCAGCTTTAAATTTGAGCTTTGACACGGCGTGACGCCACCTTCGCGTAGGGCTTGGTTGGCATTCATGTAAACATTGCCACGCCGGCTTCATTCGAAGAACGATTGAACAGTCGATGCACTAAAGTTGGATTCATGTAAACGCGGCTTAGGTGGTGTTGATCTGCTGCCGGCGGTTCAGCTTGCCAGACTCACTGCAGGCGTTTCAGCTCGCCAAACCGTTCGATGGCTACAACAGGCATCGGTGTGTCCGTAGTGGCGTGACTCACTGTCGCAGCTGAAGCCTTTTTTTTCCTCCGCCATTAGACTTTGTGTGTCAATGGGCACGGAAGGCCAGTCTCTTGAGAATTGTGCCAGCCACATCGGTCCCCTCCACCACCGGTCACAAGTCTCTAGCGAGTCCGGAGAGATACCTCGGGTTAGCAGAGCTGCCGGGTTGTCAACTCCCGGAGGGTGCCTCCAGTTACTGGGTTCCGTCTTCTGTTGGATCTCTATAACACGGTTTGCCACGAAAGGCTTCCACTCAGCAGCAGATAATTTTACAAAGTGAAGACCGATCATGGAGTTTGTGCAGAGCGTCACTGAAGAGAGATTCGTCTCCAGGGCTCCTTTCAAATAGTCGCACATTTGAGAGCCTAATAATGCTCCCATCATTTCCAGTCATGAAATAAACAGGGTCTTAATGTTCAAAACGCGCGTCTTGGCATAACGAACGTCACTGTCGTCTTCGTAGGTATGCAACTGCCCCACAGACCTGGAGATTCGCGTATGTGAAGGTATGCAGCTCCATTCCCATTTTTCCAAATCATAACGACGAGGAATCCAGAAGTTCTTGAGGTGGAGAAGAGAGTCGATCCAGTTATCCTACCTTAGACTCACGCTTTTAGGCAGCGGTGTCCACAGTACTTGAAACAGCATCTTGGTGCTTATCGTCACAGGGCTGAGAAGGCCCAGGGGGTCGAAAATCCTTGCTGAAGCCTGCAGGACGAAGAGGTTTATGTTGCGGTTGATTGTAAGAAGCTCTATAGTGTGGCTCCCAAAGAATACTTGAGCTCGTCCTCCTCTCTGTCTCACTCGAGTCCCCAAAGCCTGTGTCATACCTGCACTTGGTTCAGTGGTCTCCCAGGAAGAACTTTGAAGTCTATCTTCGTCAAATTGCTGTTTCAGCACGTCACTGTTTAAGATCAACTTCTTCAACTTTATGCCCCCTGAGCTCAAAACTTCGTTGGGCTTCTTCGTAAAAGGTCATCGCTCTTTCCACTGTGTCAGCACCGGCAGTCAAGTCATCAACGTAAAGACAGTTCTCCGGTGCACTGGGGGTGTCGAACAAGTCTTCAGAGACGTTTCCGAGGTGGTGCTTGACAGTCAGTGCCAGCATGGAGGGCAGCTCGTAACGCTAAATGGAACGCCGGTCATGCGTCACACTTCAGCCTCGATACATGTCAAGTCCTTTGTTGGCGGACGTGCATACCATAAAAAACGGAGGGCATCCCGATCCTCCTGCTTGACCACACTATGCAAAAAGGCTTTCTTAATATCAGCAGTAAAGGCAATGGAAGTGTGACAGAATTCGAGAATTAGCTGGAGGAGGTCTGGATTGAGACTTGGACCTGTCGACAATGCGTCGTAGACGGTCAGGCAGCCCGGCGCCTTCACAGATGCATCAAACTCGACGCATGTCTTGGTTGTCAATCTATCAGGTCAAAAGGCCGCACGATGGAGCATATGTGGGACCTGGTTCGAAGTGTCGTTGTCTCCAGCTTCTGAAACCCTTTCAGCAGAGCCCACTTTCAGGGTTTTGCTGAAAGTCATAGTTTAAAGGATGTGGGTAAAAAACACGGGGTTCCAGTGCGGTCTCAGCTCCTCAAAAGTCGAGTAGATTATGTGGAAGGGTGTAACGAGGTGATGTATGGGTAGGAGTATGTCGGAAGAAACATGCGACAATAAATGTGAGGTGCAGCGATATCAATGAACCCAAGAGGTTACAGTGTGCACCCGGACGTTCATTGCGGGTCCTGCAATAAGTGCTACACACCAAAAATATTTTGTTTTGTGTTTTATGTAAAATGGGTCATTACCGCTTCCAGTCTATTGTAGCTTTAGACCGTTATGGCCTACAACCGGGAACAAAGAAGAGTGAACCCTAAAGCAGCTAGGTCACCTCACTGTGGACCTCGTCACTGTTTAAGGAACGGGCAAAAAAGTCTAGACCCGCAAAGCTATCTTTTTATATGCTCCGTTTCACCGGAACTTCACAAAGAGCGAAGGCTGCGGCGGAAGACATCGGGGACACTCAAAACATGGTCCGGAAAGATGTTCCTCTATCCACTCGCCTCCAACTGCTTGGGGTGGAGAAGAGGGGAAGGAAAAATACCCCTTCAGATCCTTATTCCTCATTATGAACGACTCATACTATGGACAATTTTTTTCTGGGAACGGAGACGTCCATATTAACGAGACATGACTGTGCATAAGATTGCGTTATCCTGTGGTAGGGTGTACATAGGCCAATCGGGTCACTTTATGAACTATAGACTCAGGGAGCATGCTTTTTCAGTAAGGTCGTCGCCATCGGGTAACCTGGCGGTACACTGCAACCGGTGTAACTGTCTCTCAAAATTCGACGAGACAATCATCCTGGCCTGAAACAAGAACAAGATGACGAGGAGAATATTGGAGGAATCTTTTTATAAGGCAGTGCGATGAGGGCACACGTGTCTGCGTCCCCTCGATAACCTCGCTTGGCTCTAAGGTGGCATGTTTGAAATAGTTTGAGCGATAAGCTTTAATGTGATAAGATGTGGATTGACGTCGCACTTTGCCTAGGTCACGTGTATTTTTGATATCACGGAATATGGTTATTTCTATGAAAAATCTTCAGCGGCAAGTAGCGCTTTGTAGTGTTCGTCGTTCTTTAAATGCTTCGTCATAGTTTTAGCTCTTTTATCTTATACAGTGAATATGAAAACCTCTAGGAATGAGATTTCATCTCACTGATGTCAGCTTAGTTTTTTTTTCTTTTTGCCTCGGGTTTCGTAGTAGCTGTGAACCGTTAACACGAGGATGGATCGGGGGTGATAGGGAGTTTTAG